AAATATATATTTTATTTAAAATTTTCAGATATGTACATATATTTTAAATTTTTGCTTTAATTTTTGTCTCCTTTTAATATTTAATTAGATACCTTAAGATTAAAATAAGCTTAAAACGAAACAGCACAGCAACCCTTTTCTGTTCATCTTGAGAACACAAAACCCTCTTTTGTTAAAATTCGGCGCTGCACAAAATCCTGGCTTTTATATTTTCCAACAAAATACCACTTCGCAACCCTGGATTTTCACGAAGCGTTTCATTCGGGTCGTAGTTTTGCTACTTCGGGCCATTCGGTGTTGTATGCCATATTGGCTGCCATATTGTTCACACTGTCATCGCCATATTGAACACCCTGTCAACCCTAAGATATCTCACTTGTATTCTTCCACAATGGCTGTAGTGGCATGCACAAACAACAGCAAATCAATGATGTACATATGTATGTGTGTCTATTTGTTGGGCTTCATGGGAATTCGGCACATTGTTTTCGCGAAGTTAATAAATTAGCAAGTGCGTTAAAGGCTGAGTTTTTTGGCTTATACAAAGTGGAATTTCGTTAGTTCCCCGTCGGAAATTCAATTACTTTGAAAGCAATTTAAAAAGTACTTTTTTGCCAACCACAAGTAGTTTGAGTTCTTCCTTTTTTCTTGTAAGCAACTAACTTTATTAACAAGGCGATGTCCTAAACCCAAGCTAATTATCCGACGCTGCATATGTTCCAACTACTTTAAAATTCATAAACTGCACAAATAGTTTGTTTCCAACTACTTTGTCAATTGATTAATTTCTGAGACAAGTCAGTTATTTTCGACAGGGTAAATACAAAAAAATCTTTAAAATAACAGAACAGTGCGAAGTGTTTAAAAATGCCTAAAGCTAAAATAAATTTGTCAAGACAAACGAGAGCCGCAAGGGCAATGGCCGGTTATCAATTTAAAAGTGGATTTTTACAATAAAAGTATATCTACACATATCAGTACCGTACCTATCAGTGTCAGTGAAAAATATAATATCGTTGCCCCAGTCCCAAATAGTTGTTCAGACCGTCCGGCACATTGCCGTTTTTTACCGTCAGTGCTGCTTCAGTATTCGTTCCGCAATTTTTTTTACACTCTAAAAACTGCATGTAAAATTGCTACTGAAAAGTGTTTATTTTCAAATAAAATCTGTGTAAGTATACGCATAAGATGTTCAAGACTGAATTTTTGAACATGAGATTTTTTAAAATATACACATGAAGTGTTTAAAATTGCCAACGTTTTTAACGCGAAAATACATTCCTTACTAAAAATAAAAATTAAGTACATTTTATGTGTCATTTTGCTCTATGCGACAAATTCGGTATGTAAAAGTAAACAGGCAGTGTTTAATTTTATTAACACGGTGTCTAAATTTGCACACATTAGGAGAGGAAACTGGTAACCTCTCTTAATATGCGTTAATTTAAACAAACAACTTTTAGAGCAAGTTTTAAACACTTTTGGCCTTATTCATAAAAAATAAAGTAGGTTTAAAGAGCTTTATAAAGTGAAGTTTTCATACATTTTTCAGTTTATACACGTTTTTTAAAGCTACTTTATTTTTTATGAATAAGGCCATTTATGTGTAAACTGTGTAATTGTGAACACTAAGAAAATTCGATAGAAATTTTTTTATTTAAGTTTAAGTAATGATTTCACTTTACTTTAAAATAGTTAAATTAACGGCCCTAAGAGTCAAATTCACAGTGCTGTACTGAAAGCCTGTAGTTAACTGAAGATTCTGAGTTAACTACGCACTGTGAATTTGGCCTTGAGTGTTTAGAATTCAACAAACAAATGTCAAATTTGTTCTACGCCACACATATGGTCAGTAAAAGTAAAAAAAGCAGTATTTAAATTGATTAACACGTTGTGCAAATTTGCATACATTAAGAGAGGAAACTAGTTACCTTTTTTAATAGGCTTAAATTTAAACAAACATTTTTTACAGTGTAGTCTACTCGGCAAAGATTTGTTTGTGTATTTCCCCGACGAGCTGATGGTATTCTATTGCAAATTTTGTTTAATACGGAGGGAAAATTAATCGAGTTGGTACGGAATTATCCAGGAAATAATTGACAACTGATCATTAGTAAAATAAGTCATCTTGGTTTCAGTGAAATTCATTTTACTGAAAGTACCGGACGACATGCTACGGATGTGTTTGAATTGGTATCACTGATCGATGCTGATTGGCTATAACACTTCGCTCTTTCAAAGCGACTTGAAATTCAGTTTATACATATGTTTTGAATCGCGGGGAAATGAATTAAAGCGACTTATGCATGCGTATAAACGTAGTATATTGATACTGAACTGATACGGCACTGATTTGTGAAGATAGATCTTAAATTTTGTTATTATCACCAATCGATTACAACACATTATATGTACATACATATGTACTAGGGTTACAATGGCCGCCCAGATGAATTATGGATACTAATGAAGGCCCTGAAGAGGTTTTCCCATTTGAGTTTCAATACGGTTTCTCCTTAACTTTGATGCAAAATTACTCACGAGGCGTCGCGAAGCACGCCGGGTATTTGCTAGTGTATGTATATATGAGCATAGATACATATGTACATACATAAAAGAATACAGCCTCATTGCGTAAGTCGTAAATTAGGCTAAATTGTACGAATCGACAACATTGGCATTGTCTACTGTCGTGCTGAAATAAGTAAACGACGAAAATCGTCGAAAACTATACAGTGCTGCCAAGTATTTGCGTTTTAATACACTAGTCGAGAGGAAATTTTAGGCAATGACGTGAAATTTTCTATACGATTCGACTCTCGAAAAACTATTTGCATTCGACACGTCTCTCGCAATGAGGGTGATAGAGACATATACCTTGTTTATACCGACACATAAAGCGCTTTGACCCAGTTCGCTGTGATTCAAAACGGAACCAAATTTCAATACGCTCAGAAATTCAAAAGTGTATTGACTCGATTTTGTTTTCAAATCGGTGTTTTATTTCTCACATCGGTTAGAAAACAGGTATAAACACATCACTCATTTAACGCGAAGTGAAACAAGGCCGGTTTTCTTTATACAGCCCGTTTTAAATTTGAATTATTATTATAATAAATTTGAATTATTGTTCGCATCTATTTCGGTCAATCGCGCAAATTAATTATTAAAGAAATATCTTAAGAAAACAACAAATTTTGTTTACTTTTGAAAACGGTTTCAGCGAGGGCGCTATAAAGACACAGGTATAAACTTTTGAAAGAAATATGTGTTGAGTCAAATCGTTTTATTGTAAATGCGGTTCTTACATTGGTACAAACAAGGTAATAATGAAATATTTGCTAAAGTTTGAAATTAAAAAGACAGTGTACAAGTTTCGTTAGCGAAAATCTCATAAAATTGCCATTAAATACAAATTAAAATAAATGTTAAACCGAGTTTTTAAGTACCTAAAATAATTAAAAGTTAAAACACAATACATTCGCAGAATAAATGTAACAAACTAAGCGCACTAAATTAAAATTATTATGAAATAAAATCAAAAACTTTAATAAAATATATGTATAGACAAAAGAAATAAGAAACCCAATTCCCAACCGCTGCATAGTGCAGGAGCCCACTAGCAAAAGCTAGCGGCATCTAATGGAAACAACAACAGAAGCAGACACAGTAACAGGAACGGCAGGAGGTCAACGGATACCGGTAGAAGAGTAAAGTTGCGGCAAAACAGGTGGTAGAAGCACAGAGGTCAAGTAAGTGTATCTACGTATTCTTCTCCTTTATACATATGTATACATACATATTTACTCATATATGTACATATGTACATTCTATATACATACCCTAGCGGAATAGATTTACGGTAAATCAAAAATTTTACATATTTAATTCACCTCGAATAAATACGCCGACTCCCTCGCGCTCTTTTTCCAATTATACATACCTTTATACTCAGTTAGACTCCAATCGGGCAACTAAACCTAGCTACACACGACGAACATCTGCGCGCACATGCACGGCTTGCGGTGCGGATTCGTTATATTTGTTTTTTTATTTAATAATAAATATTTTTTTTATAATGTCTAGCTCATTGTTCATATAACACCCCGCGATAATAAATTGTAAACATAAATATCAATATATTCGCGAAACCATGGGCCAAATATATGGCCCTATTATGTATGGCGACTGATAGCCGATGGGCAACCATAGACTGAAATTCACATTACGTATGGCAACTCGTTACTGACTGTCGGCTACTGGCAAGGCTACTGAGTCTGGTAGCGCAATTTTCTGTATTATGTATGGCTACCATCTCTTTTTATAGTATACGTAGTATATGTAGCAAACGTCAAATTGAAGCAACTGATCACCATCAGTCGCCATTGTTATATTTTGCGAATTTTGGAGGAGAAAGCTGAAACAAATTATGATCATGGCAGAAAAATTGTAATAATATGTAAATTCTATTTATATTGGTATATAATTAACAGTTTGATATTTCTCCAGGCCAGTGAAAATTACTAATAGCAAGCAATTTGAGCGTTTGGTGCATTTAATGCAATCCAACCCAGGAATTGCAAGAGGAACACGGACATTTGGACAAAACAAAATCCAAAACGACGAACAATGGGACGCTTTTGCTACGGAAATAAATAGTTTCGGCCCTCCAAATAGATCTAGAAAAGAGTGGCAGCGGGTAATAATTTTTACTATTATATATGTACATACTGCAATAAGCATTTTCATGTACATATGTATACATACATTTGTGTAGGTATGGATTAACTACAAGGCCAAAACCAAGAAGAAAATTAGTGCAAATAACCGAAATATAAGAACGACTGGTGGAGGCCCATCAGAGGAGCAAACGTTATCTGCACTCGAGCAAGTGGTAGCAGATATTTTACACACAGACGTAAGTGTAAATCCACCCGGCAATGTGTTTGGTATTGTGGAAATGGACGAAGACGAACAAAACGTAGAGCCGTCATGCAGTTCTTCGCCAAATATTTCGATAACTGTTCCAAAAAAAAGGCAAAAAAAAAATATTGAAGAAATGAAAGTGGACATGTTAAAGTCGAAAACTTTAAATAACTCGGCTATAGCACAAAATTTAAAAAAAAAATAGAAAAAAATACATACAAAATGAGCAAATATGCTGAACAAAATCATGATTTAAAAAAAGAAAAATTTGAACTATTAAAAGAAAATATGAATTTAGAGGCGGAACTTAAACGAAAGAAAATTCAACTTAACGAATACCAATTAAACAATATGTAATTTTAAAGATTCAATCAGGCAGGTTCTGCAATTCACTTGTTGCTATCGCAGCAACACTTCGACATTCATCACACGTCGGCAACTTGCTATATCGATCCGAAAATTGTTGCTAACTGGTTACAGAATCTTCCTACAGGTTGTGCTTCAAAATATCACCTAAAAGCCATGTGTTTTCTCCTGCGTTATTCGACATAATTTCCTTGAGTCTACCATTATTCCATATGAAGGCATCATGTGTGGCTCCTGGATATCTGGCATCGACATACGTTATGTTCATATTGAAATCGCAAACCTAGGTAATAAGGAATTTGTGTGTATCCAAGATAAATATGCGGAAACTAACTTACCATTAACGCGTTTATACTGAAAAATCCTTTTCTGTTTATGTACAGGTGTTGCAGTTCCTTTTCAGGTGATAAAATGTGCACATGAGTGCCATCCACACAACCCAACACACCTGGAAATCCACTCTTATTGTAAAAATTTGTTTTGCTTTTATTCTGCTCTTCTTCGCAAGTGTCAAATTTGATGTGCTTGGGACAAATCTTCTGCTCGATTAAAGAAGTAACTTCAGTTAGTATTACTGACATAGTGGGTTGGGAGATGCCAATATTGAAATCATTCCCTTGGCATTTTTGATAACTCCCTTCCGCAAAGAAACGGAGCACTGCGCAGAGTTTAAGAATTGGAGGTACCGCAGTTGATCGAAAGCTGCTTTTGAAATGAGGGGATAGTTCCTCCAACAAATATACAAATGCTTCCTTTGATATCCGAAAATTGCTTACGAACCTGGAGGTATAGATTTGTTAAAGAAATATGTACATGACAATTTGTTTAACTTACTTAACAACTGGTAGATCCAAAGGATTGGAGCGATCCCTTATGTGACGCCGTATTAGAGCAACGTTTGCACACTCTTCCCGAATTGCGAAAAAAAAACTCATAGCTGCTGATCTTTCTGCTTTCTTTATTTTTATAAATATAAATGTTTCCCGGTTGTGACGATTTTTTTATTTGTTTACATAAATTGTCAAACACATTGGAGCAAAGTTGCCAATTACTTCAAATGTACATGTCAAAAAAGCAAACTCAGGGATGTTTTCTGCGTTTTTCTGTATACTGAGATTAATCGCTATACGTAATACAAAGTACGATACTGGTAGCCACGGCTACTAGACCGGCAACTAGACACCAGTCGCCATACATAAAAGGGCCATAAATGTTTCCCGGTTGTAACGATTTTTTTATTTGTTTACATGAATTGTCAAACACATTGGAGCAAAGTTGCCAATTACTTCGAAATGTACATGTCAAAAAAGCAAACTCAGGGATGTTTTCTGCGTTTTTCTGTATACTGAGATTAATCGCTATACGTAATACAAAGTACGATACTGGTAGCCACGGCTACTAGACCGGCAACTAGACACCAGTCGCCATACATAATAGGGCCAATAGAAAAATTACATTTTTAGTTTTTCACTCTGACGTCAGTAATTCAAAAATGATATAAAAAATTCAGAGAAATGTGCTTAGAGAAGAAGTATGGGTATAAAATTAATGAGGAATTGTAGAATTTAAACATATTCAAGTTTCTAGTGCAGAAGGGCTGGTAAATATTGAAAATGTCATTTTAAAATTTTATCCTTGAAATTTCGCAATATATGTTCGAATTTCGTTCTTCTAACTTTGTCAGCTTAAAAATTACCTATTCGTCCTGGTGAATCCAACAAATTAAAATTTTTTAAATTCTAAAAAAATTTCCTATTGCATTTGTTACCCATATTTTTATTCTACATTGCATTGAATTTTTTAAAAATTTTTGGAATTAATCATATCTTTGAAATTACAAAGTCCTTCAAAATATATCCTGCGGTCAGGGAGAAAAAATAAAAACACCTACATTAAAAGTAGGTTTCAAACCATGGTACAATAACACTGTGGAACAAATTCAGGTTAGCAAAAGTTAGGTCGATTCTGAGAGTGAGGGGTGAAAATAGAGGCTAAATTAGAAGACCCGTATCACGGCGTTTGTTTATGTTAGTTCGAATTTTTTTTTTTAATCGACCTTCGAACTTTGCAGTCAAATGCCGATTTTCAGCATATTGTTTATATGGTTTTTGAAAAGTTTTAAGTAAAAAAATTAAATTAATTAAATTAGTTATTTGGCCAGTTGCTGTTTAGCAGGCGTCTGTGGATCAACATCACTGCTCTCTCCAATATCTTGGTCATCGTCATCATCATCAGAAAGGTCGATAATTTCGTCCAACAGATATTCTGGAATTTCATCTTTGTCTACCCCTTCTTCCTCTTTTTCCTCGTCTTCCTCTTCTTCAAAGGTGTTTTTATACCACCAACAAATTTTAGCGAGTATTGCATCTGGAGATTTCTTTCCTCTGTACCTGAAATGAAAATAGTTTTCAATCGTTAACATGTTTAAATTGTGCACTCTGACAAAGATATTAGAAAAATCTAGGAATTCAAAATATGCACACTCTATAGTTACCTTATTTCAAATGAAAGCGCAGTTTTTACTGATAACGTTCGCCTTGCTCATCAGATTCAGTCGGCAACTGTTGAGCGAGTTGATCAAGATGCTGATGCAAGAGATGAATTTTGTACGACATATTAACCCCAATTTCATCGAAAGCTGCCAACATGTTTGCAACAGATTGCCTGTAGTTGTCTTTGCGTTCTTTACCCAAAAGTCCTTTAATGACTGCTTTCAATGCGAGCCATGCATTTAATTCTGGGTCTGTCAGAACTTGGTCAAAATCTTGACGACTCATTAGTTTCCGTATGTCGGGACCATTAACAAGAAGGGGTAGACAAAGATGAAATTCCAGAATATCTGTTGGACGAAATTATCGACCTTTCTGATGATGATGACGATGACCAAGATCTTAGAGAGAGCAGTGATGTTGATCCACAGCCGCCTGCTAAACGGCAACTGGCCAAATCATTAATTTAATTTATTTAATTTTTTTACTTAAAACTTTTCATAACTAACATTTCAAAATTATATTTTTTTCCATATTTTTATAATTTCTTTTTCAATGTTTCTTCAAAACCAACACTGAAAAAATTGGTACATAAGAAATGAGAAGTAAATTAATATTAAGCTGGAAAACGCAAGTTTTGTATTATGATTGTTTTCTTTTCAAATGAAATTTATTGAAGAAACTGAGAAGCATATTATAGATCAAACAGAAAGCAAAAAAATACTTAGTTTTGTGGAAAATATGTTCAAAGAGCATGATAAAAAAAATCCAACATTTTGCTTCACAAGCACTACAAACATTTTCTAAATCAATTTTTTTTTTTTTATTTTAATTGTTGCATAGGTCTCTAGCAATAATTAGGCTTTAACAGATTGAAAAAATATCAATTAGTCGACGAGTTATAGCCAAAAAACCATATAAACAATATGCTGAAAATCGGCATTTGACTGCAAAGTTCGAAGGTCGATTAAAAAAAAATTCGAACTAACATAAACAAACGCCGCGATACGGGTATTCTAATTTAGCCTCTATTTTCACCCCTCACTCTCAGAATCGACCTAACTTTTGCTAACCTGAATTTGTTCCACAGTGTAATTACAGGTATTGTCTTCCTAAAGGGGTTTGCTTCACATCGAAATTCGTGCTCCCTTATTTTAATTTTGACGCAATTAATGTTCATTCTTTTACTTTTATTTGGCTTTGCTTTTTGTTTTCGCTCAATTTAATTTTTATAAGTTTTCAAAACAAAAGAAAAAACGTTTAAAATTAAGTGAGCCATACAAATTTTAAATTTATTTACAAGCAAATGTTTTTTTCCAGCTTTTGCAAATTGAATAAGTTCTCTGTAAGATGGTTTGTTAAAAAAAATACGTGAACATACTTACATATGGTATATAGAAAAAGGGATATTTCCAGCAGTAAACGTTTTAGTGTGGGCAACAATGATATTTTTTAAATAAGACAGATCGGAATATGCGCTCTCTGGGAAGACAATACCTGTAATTATTGTACCATGGTTTCAAACCCATTTATTTATTATTTATTTCATGGTAGGAGAGCTTCTCAAACAATATAGAAGCAATTTTTTCGATTCAAGTTGTTGAAAAGTAATGAATATCTAAGTCCCGCGACTAATCCCGGGATCCCGGGATTGTGACAACGCCATCCCGAAAATCCTGGGATCGGTAAAAGCCGAAAAATTAACATCCCTAATGCACATTAACTAAACGTTAGTTGTTGATATGTAAGTAGGTATGTACATATGTAAGTACATACAATTTCCGTACTCCATTACGCACTCATTTTTTTGTTCTCGATTACAATATACGTACCATGATAAAAACCATAATAAAAACATAGTAACGTAAAACCGTTCTCTCAATTCGTCGGCCATGATTTTTTTTGAAGTTTGCCAACATTTTAAAATCATATGAAATTGAGAGTAAAAAAAAGGAATTGTTCGAAGTTATTGTTTGAGACTGAAAATAGGAATGTGTGTGTGAGTTTGTGTGTAAAATTTCAAAGTTAAATTGCTTGCAAACGTCAAGAATTTGAAAAATTCCTCTCAGCGGTTCTACCTTCCTATTTTTTTATCATGATACGTACTGCAAATTGCCATACTCAGATGTGCTGAAAAAATACAGTGTCTTGAGAAAGGCCAAAATATAAAATAAAAATAAAATAAAATAAATAAAAATCTGAGCAAAGGAAATCACATACAATAAAAATAAATAAAGCTGCATACAAAAAAATACAATAAAAATATTTAAAATAAAATTTAAGTAAAAAGCTGAAATAATACTGCGGGTTAAAAAAAAATCCTTATATTTACACTTCCTTACCCCATATTTCCAAATCTGAACTTTTAATAATGGAAATGTACAAACAAATTATTTCTACCTATCCTTCTTTCTCAACTAATAATCCCCTTCATGATCTTATGTTCGAAATACATAGATTCGTAATCTTTTGTCACAGATGGACGTCGGCAGCGAGTTTCACAGAAACCCTGTTAAAAGTGAAAATGAATCTCCTAGACACAAATTGGGAAAATATCGTTCCTGCTTTTAAAGAAGTATCTGTCTCACCCCTATGCTCAGAGATTTGTAGTTCGGTTACACTGGCCTACGAGAAATGCTTTGAAATGCAAAGGTGAAATGTTGAAAGCTTTTGAGCACCTCCAAGCCTACACAAGTATTCAAACGACCCCAAGTAATACACTGAAGTCTACAAAACCTTCAGATATCTCTCTAGATTACAGTCCACAGCTCAAGTGTCTCCTCCCATAGACACAACACCAAACTCCCCTATCCCCAGCTCTGCTCCAAAGGACACAGGTAATAAAACCAATTTCGTAGCCAGTAATGTAGAATCCACCAATGATTCGCCCCGATGCACTCCAACCCAATCTAATCATTACCTCGCTCGATCCCACCGGATACCGGATGAGGAAAATTCCGACCCGCCAGACTCGCTCTCGCCAATGCAAATATCGGAAAGGAGGCACGAAACCTCTAATCCAGAATCTCCAGGTACAACTCTCTCTTCTCCACGTCCTCAAACAAACTCCTCATAAGCGGTGCCAACTTTGCACAGTTCAGATCCTTCTATTGGCTCTCAAAGCTCAACCATTGCTTCAACCCCGAAGAAAAATAAGTCACGTCCGCAACCGTTTTCATTATCTCCTGCCTCTATCTCAATTACCCCAGGTGCCACTCTGACGGCAGCAATTTTAAAGAACAAACGGGAGCATGACCGTTGTTCACCGAATTAGAAAGCCAACCGTAAGGGGTTATTTAAGGACAAATCCTAGCTCACAAGCGAACAACAAGGCATCACAACGCCCACAAAAACACTGGAGACACCCACACTTCAGACTACAGGCTCTGCACACCCATCAGCAGGCGAATAGCCCTTTCGCAACTCTTGAGACGCTGAAACATAAGCAACATACCCGTCATAAAATATAAGCACCGAATTCTCAAAAGGCGGCGCAAAGTCATTTTCCTCCTACACAAAAAAAATCGTTTGAATTCTCCTCACACTCTCATAAATTATTTACTCCTTTTCTAATCTTATCCACTTTGCCACATAATACATGCCCACATAAGTAACTCGCATCCCCACACACTCGTATTATTTTACTTATACATTTTTTGATCTTCTCCCACAGGCGGATCCAGATGTGTCAGCTACGCCAAAACACCAATTAAATATCTCCTGCTCTGTCACGGATCCCGAGTCAGACCTCCAGAGGACTAGGCAACTGTAACCAGCCAGCGTTGAGATCAACATTTGTGGGCCCAGCATGTTGAAGACATGGGC